TAGTCCCTGCAAATGTGCGACAAAATATCACATCAAACAGACTGGGTAATTTAGAATAGAGTCGCTTCATTGTGAATGGAAACCATTAGAATCAAAGTAGATTTCTCTGTCTAATCGCAAAATAATACCCCCGATAATACAACATACAGTGGAAGTATTCGACTTACGTTACCCCTTTTTAACATATGCACTAATGGATCCTATCAGAAGTCAATCTATCTCTCTACAAATTTTCTACGCTAAAACTGTTACCCACAGAATATGATATAAGATATCCAATTCCAAAATATTTAAGACGATACCTACGCGCAAAACTACTCAAACAACAACTCTGGCTTTGCTACAATCAATTATAACAACAACCATAAAGCATATGTTAATTAACAAAAGGCATGCATCATGACAGTAAACCAAATAAATTGGAATAAGTTACTTACCAGTACTTAATCAAGCCATCCCAACCACAAGTTGCGACTTTACTCTGTTCCAGAGGATGCCACTCGGCTCCAATGCATACTCCATTGTGACATTTAAGAGTCCTGAAGACTTTGCAGCTCTTCCAGTCCCAAAACCAGCATTTACCCTCACCATCTCCCGACATTACAAACCGCCCATCTGGCGAGAAATTAACTTGGCAAGCATAACCAGCAGCAATGTGCCCTGCAAACCTCTTCTTTTTATTCAGCTGAAACCTTTCTCGGGTACTATAGATCAGAATCTGGTTGTCCAAACTCTGTGCCGCAAGCCAATTTCCATTCGGGTGAACAGAAATGGAAGGCATAGAGTGCATATGAGGTTCACTAATATACTTGATAACCACCGGTATCCCAAATTCCCACACACGGAGAGACTTGTCATCGCTTGACGTGACAAATCTTCTGTTATTGTCCACAAATGTGATTGTATTAACTGCCCCCAAGTGCTGATCATACTCTTGCGTAATCTCCCCTGTATTAATATCCCACTGAACAATCTTCTTATCACTCATACCAGCCAACAAGATATTCTGCTTGTCATCATCCGGATTCAGCTTAACAACATACGGGATCTTCCCAGTCGAGAAAGTCGATATAACTTGTCCGGTTTCCGTGTCCCAATACTTAATGTTCTTATCATACCCAGCAGTTAAGAACTTAGTCCCATCATTAGAGAAGCAAATATCCCTCACAGCTTTAGCATGACCCATGTAAGTCCTCATACATTTACCAGAGTTATACACATCCCAAATCTTAACCTTACAATCCATACCTGCAGAGAGAAGCAAATGTCCATGCTTTGGGAAGAACCTAATAGCAGAAACACCTTTCGTGTGACCACTCCATGTATGAACAAGACGTTTTGGTATGTAACAATGATCATTGTTAGCCTTTGCATCTTTAGGAGCCTCAATCCATGACCTTCCTTGATAATCTTTCTCTTCCTTACCATGGAAAGTACTCTTGTCTGCATAATGCTCTCCTTTAGCTTCACCTTGTTGTCCCTTCTCTTCCTTCTTCTTCGCGTGGTCCTCTGCATACTTCTTCTGCTCCTCCGTTAACTCTCCCTGAACAACCTCCTTCTTCCTTGACCATGGACTTTTCCTATTCTTCAAAAGCCACGCTTCCGTCGCCGGATTCTCAGCTTCCGGCTCAATCTCTTCCTTATTCTCCTCCCCTTCTCTCTCTTCCTTATTCTTCTCAATCTTCCTCCGCTTCTGCTCGCTCTGAGGGATATTATAAACCGAAACACCGTCGTTCTGCTTCAACGCCTCTACGTCGCCGATGTAATTCATCCCGGACGGATCCGCCGCGTAACCGTACTTGTGAAAAGTGTTGTACTGCTCATCGAACACGAAGGAGCCAATCGAAGCATCTTCCACAAACCCTAGCTTATGGTTCCGCATCCCTTGTGCGATCCCGTCTTTAGCGTACGGATGCGCAGGTCCGTTAATCGGAGCCCAAAGCTGCTCATAGGTAGGGTTAAACGCAACGACGTGTTGGGTCGGATTGATCGGTTTCGATTTCGCTTGATTCACGTTAGCCACCGTGAGAGCTAGTGCTGTATCGTCTACTTCCGGTGCTGATGATTTCGCCTTTAACATCCGCGGCGGCGAAGATTCCGGCGAAGAAGAAACGTCTTCTCCTCCGTCGTAAGATTGAATCAGATCCATCTTGCGATTGTCAGATTTACTCTCTCAGTCGAAAACTTGTAATTGAGATTTTGCTTCTTTTCTCTTCGACAAAGGGTTTTAAAATTCCTAAATCCATTAAGGGTTGCAATTTGTGTAAATTGAAAGAGAAACCCTGAATTTTATTTTATTTTCACATTTACCTAGCTAGTGTGCTTGTCTGACTTTTACGTCCGTTATCTTCCCGAAGGAACCAAAAATGCCATTAATTATTTAAGGTTTCTTCTTCATCAAATCTATATAACTCATACAATGTTTTTTTCAGAACAAACTTGTAAACGTAAATAGGAATTTTGTTTAGCTTTTCTTTTTTTCTCATACATTACGTTTTGATATCCCAAATAGTATATATCTTATTTCAACTCAACTCTATTTGTGTTTTAATCTGTAACATTTTTAGTTACTATAGAATATTCTAAAACTAGTGAAAATCCACGCGTTGCGCGGAACAACTATTTAGATAATTTTTAAAACTATTTTAATAATATATATATAAACATTGATATACTTAAATGATGTTTAAGATTTATGCTCACAATTTCTATTTATGCAAATTCAAACATCATTTTAAATGTTTAATATGAAAGTGAACA